ATGTAATTTTGAACACACACGTTCAACACAATTTCGGCGCATCGCCACCCTTTTTGCTTTAGTTTTGTTTCGACGAGTTCTTGCTTTCGGGTTGAGCTGCATCGATTTCGATCTTCAACAAGAGGTAAAATTCGTCGTGATGGATTGCGTTCTTAGGATTAGTGCTTCCATCTTCATGACACTCTAATCTTGTTTATGTAATTCATCAAATTATCATATATCTTACATAATCTCTAGCAATATCGCCATCTAGACTACTATCGGCCAATATCTGTATGCAGAAGACAGCCGATTAGGTTAGATCTTGATGTTGATCTAGATTATATAAGATATCTACAATTCTGTGAAATTTCTAGCGGCTTGATTGTCTAGATATCGTTCTTCTTTTCATACTTAATGCTGCATCAGTTGAGTTTGATCTATTAAGTCGTGCTTAGAATATCGATCTCTAGCCTGCCTTCTAGTTGCCGATTAGAATAGTATCGGAGTTTCAGCCGATCATATCTGATTTAACTTCATTTGTTCTATATGTCTTATTGATATGTTAAATCTGCCCTTTATGTTAAGATATTGCCGTATCTAAGTATGTTAGGCTTTTGCTCAATATATTATAATTGCTTTAATATCTTGATATAGAGTAGTATCGGAGTATTAGCCGATACATGCTAGATCTATCTGATCGGCTATGCTATAAACATATATAGTGTCACGCCCGGAAATTCACTAGTAATTTCCGAACTTGTTTGTGTATAAAATCCTCGTCCAGGAATCAGCCGAGGTACACAAACTGACAATTTAATATACAGATTCATCAAATTAACTAAAACGATAAATACTTACTTAAGAGGCACTTAGTCCTCACCATGAAGAAAACTGCAGCGGAAAATAAAATCTAGCGAAGCTCCGGCTCCACTCCCACAGGCAGCTCAACTGGGGTATAAGTCAAACGTCTTCTCCTCCTAGATCCTTTTTCTTCAACTGAGGTTGATTGATTATTGCAAGAATGAGCATATGACATACTCAACAAGCCACACAGCAAATATGCAAGTGCACAAGGATACCAAAGGATGGCATAATATAGGCTCATTTGCAAAAGCAGCGTTTAGCAAAACATTTAAGAGAAGTAAAACAGTGGAGTAATTAATCAGAAATTTTAATCAACACTGAACAACACACCCATGCTGCACAGGCCCAACCATCCTGAACAACCATACCCGGCTGTACAGATCTAACTCCAAACCAGGAGCTAAGCAAATTATTACCAGGTATAACATCCATAATTATTGTGAGAGGTGTGAGACTAATCACGAAAAACATTGCTCAACCCGCCCATAACCGCGGGCACGGCTATTCGAATAGTTTTACTCTGGCCAGAGGTGTACCACTGTACCCACAAGACACAGCCTCAACATCATGTCTACCATGCGTCGCGATACTGGAAAGTACCCGAATAGAGGCTGTGACAATACCCTTTGCACAACACAACTCACCACAGTGCACCATTCCTGGATCATAATCACCCCCTTATAAAACAAGGCATGGACTCCCCAGTGACCCCCGTGGGCTTATCTCCGCCACTTCTCAGTCTGGTGCTCCGCAATGAACCATGTTATACAAAAGGTAAAGCCGTTGCCCACGCTGGCTTGTGGTTGGCACGGTTAATATTTGACAACAGTAGCTCGCGAACCGGTCCTTAATTGCCATGAGCACGACTCTCAAAACCATGTGCTCACAACCCACCATTATCAAGTTTTAGTTGGCAAGTAATTAATTAACCAATCACGATTGACCATCATGAACTATCTTTAAACCATCGTTAAATAATAGTGAGTCATAAGTTATCCCAATAGTGTGCTGATGTTTCTAAGCATGGCTAAGCAATCATATCTAATATCTAGCTGAACCAGTATATAAAGCTCAACTAGTCAAGTTATAATAACCCAAGGTATCAAGGAATAAAGTAATCAATGCAAACAGGCCATAACAAAGGAATAGATTCACACCACCCAATGACATTCGAAAATAAATGCACAGTTGAAATAAATAGAGAATTTAAATATAGGAACAACATGCTCAAAGGATTGTGTTTAGGATCTGTGTGACTTGTCTTGCAATAATCGGTCTTCAATTAATCCTCTTGGATACTTCCGGCGCACTCGCGAACCTTCGCAATGACGAAAACGACAAGCTAACACCCAAAACGAAGAAAAAGACTAATAAAAACCAAATAAACAATACATAAAAAGTAAACAAACATGTAGATCATAATTTTAGATGAATTATGAGACTTGAACGGCCTCATTCTCACTTCAAATGAATTTATTATGAATTTTACAAGATTAAATCTAATTAAAGCCCATTTAAAAAGAATTAAATAAATTTAATTCTATTTATGGACAATTTTAATATGTAGATCTTTATTTTACACAACTTTTGCAACTTGAACCACATTAAACTGAGTTACAATGAATTAGTTATGAATTTTTAAAGATTAAATCGGATTAAAACACTTATATAGATTTTAATTGAATTATGATGCAATAATGAATTATTTTTGAAAAGGAAAAGAGATTTATTGCGTCAGCGGCTAGGGTTTGCGGTGGACCGGGTGCACGGCAACGGTTCACGGGAACGGACGGCCGAGATCGACCCTATCCAAAACGGACGGCCGAGATCCATCGGTCCACGACCGGGCCACGGGGAACGGCAACGATGACGTCAGCGATGACGTCAGCGATGACGTTAGCACCGGCGGCGGCTCGGCAACGCATGCTCGCCGGCGAACGACGGCGCGACGACGCAAACGAAGGACACCAACGGGTAGAGGGCGACGCGGCGAACTCACCGGTGACCAAAACGACGGCGGAAGAGCAACGGACGGCGCCGGCGACGAGGAAGAAGCGGCGGCAACCTTCGGGTCAACGGTGACGGCGGTGCTCCAGCGGTCTTCGGCGGCGACGAAGCGGTGGACAGGGACGGCGACGCGACGGCGACCACGACGGTGACCTCCCCGAGCGGTGACGACGACCGGAGCGACGGCGAAGCACGGCTGGAGCGGCGGCGACGACTGCGGCACGAAGCGGCACGACGCTAGGGCTCTTCCGACGGCGAGAGACGAAGACGAGGGTGGCGGCGGGTAGAGGAGAGCTCGGGGATCCTTTTAAAGGGGCTAGGAGGCGGCGGCGAAGGCCCACGGCGACCGACGACGAGAAGGAAAGTTCGGGCTCGGAGAGAGAGAGACCGATCCGAATCGACCTCGAATCCACGAACTTCCAAAGCGATTTAGACGATGATTCCAAAAGAGAAAAGGTAGAGGAGATCTCAAGGATCATTTCCCCTCTATCGATTTCACCGGAGAAGGAAAGGCGCGGCCGAATTTGGAAGGAGACGGCGGCGGCTTGCGCTAGGGTTTCGGGCGGCGGCGGCGGCGCGAGGAAGACGAACCTGACAGGTGGGCCCCACCTGTCAGCGGCACCGAGAGAGAGAAGGAAGCGACGGCGGGCTGGGCCGACTGGGCCGGGGAGGGAGAGAGAAAGAGAGAGGTTTTGGGCCGGCTTTCGTCCCAAAGCCAAAATAGACTTTTAAAAACCTTTTTCAATTTAAATTATTCATGAAATGCAATTCCATTTATTAAAAATACTTCCTTAGCTCAAATAAATCCCCGAAAAATCTAGGAATTATAGAATTAAGCAAAGTATTTAACAAAATTTTATCTAGCCCAATTTTATATTGAGATTTAGCAAATTAAAATTAGATCTTCTCTTTTAAGCTTTTAAGATCATTTCTAATTATTCCTTTTAAACAACAATTTATAATTTAAGGATTTTTTTAAACAAGGAAAAGCTCTTAACAATTATAATTAGATCATTATTGATCAAATAATTACTGAACTGTTCTTTGTATCATTTAGGAATTGAGCTCTGAAAATCCGAGAAAATTTCAGAGAGTTGACTTAATCATTGAGAATTTAATAAAAATTAAATCCATCCATGCTTTATATTTAGGAAATTTTATTTCCCACATTTAACTTCACTTGTAAATTAAAGATCATTTAATATAAATTCTATTATTAATTTATTAAATAATTTATAAATCCTGAAGCAAAAATCAGGATGTGACATATAGTCTTGTTATTGACATATATTTCGATCTAAGTGATTTATACTGTCTCGGCATGATGACCGATCTATCCCAATCACTTGATTTAAGTAGACATCGATATAAGGAGTATATATTGTTAATATCTACAGCCGATCGAGTAGATTTAGTCCTTTTTTACTTATTCATGACTGCCGATCGACGCACAGATGATATCGGCTCAAAGATAAATGATATGTCATCGGCATCTAACCGATCGGCTACCATTTATAAATTTAACTACGGTTTCTTTGTTTTTATTTCTTGTTGATTACAAGATCAAATCAACTGGCACGCTAATACATCCGAAGGCGAATTTTGGACCTGCACTGGAGTTAAGCAGATCTCCCAGGCCACGTGTTTTCTGTCAACAAAAGTAGAGTATATAATCCATATAGGAATTTAAAACTAACTAAAATTCAGAATAAACATAATAAAATTAAAAAGTAGAGTTTAGAGTCCGTATAAAAATACAATTTATAAATATCTAAAATTCAAAATTAAGAAAAACATGGGAGTCAATATAGGAATACAATTTAGAAGTAACTGAAATTTGAAATTAAAAATTAAAGAATATTAGAAAATGAGTTTAGAGTCCACATAGAAATACAATTATAAATAATAAAAATTCAGAATTCAAAAAAAATATATTAAAAGACGAGTCTAGAGTCCATATAGGAATATATATAATTTACAAATAACTAAAATTTGATATTACACATTAGTAGTTTCGTAAAGTTATAGCAAAATTTAAAATTATGTTGTCATTTTAATATATTTGAATAATATAATAATAGAATATATATACTATTATATGAGAGAAAATATAATGATGCTAGCCGCGCAATCTGCGCGGGCCACCATGCTAGTTTTATAAAATTTCAATGGCATGGTTACGAATATACGAATTATAATGGCATTTATCTAAATATGCACATTTGCAATGGCATGAATCCAATTAACCCTATTTTATATGTGTTTTGAATTTGCTTCAGCATATTGACCTGGATGTGCATTTGTGTTCCATTAAGATGTTATATTGTTTGGTGTTCCATGAAAAGAGGTGGATATGCAAACTGAATGTGCTTGCTCACTAAACCATGGTAGCTGCAGTAATTTCTATAACTTGATGTAAGGAAGAAAAAGATAAAAGATATATATGTTAAACTTTCGATGGTCCCATAATCACTTGAGCCTATTTATTTACATGTTCTTGCCCTCCTCTCCTAAATCACAATGTCTGCTTTGTAAGACATGAGATCTCACCATGTTCTCTGCTACTCCAATGGGTGATGATGGTGATGGCAAGAGCATAAGAGAATGCTGCAAATAAAGCTAGGCTAGGTGAATTCTATGCAATTTATTCTACTATGCATATCTTGGGATGGAAGTAAATTTGTTGGTCTATTCAGTTCTTCTTTAGATTATTGACTAAACCAAATAACCAACTTGGTGCCGTTTACTTTACAGGAGGTTTTCATATTAGTTTTTTTCCCTCTTATGCTATTCTGGTCCTTTAGTTAACAGTACATGGAAAGTAGTTTCTTTTTGTTGCTATATTTACAAGTAATCATGAGTTTCATGTAATAGCATCAATAATATAACATATGAAAAACAATTATAATCACCATCATTCTCAGGATGACACTTATGACGTGCATTCAGTTTATCATTATATTCAGAGCTTCATCTTCCTTCCTATGTACATATTGGCCTTGAGTGTGGTAAGAAAGAAATTGAGATATGGCTTGTACTTCTACACCTTCAAGTGAGGTACAGAAGTTTTTTACATAGTAAAGGAATTTGCACAACACTGTTCTTTGCACGGTAATTTCCCCCTACTTTATTTTCAAGCTTAAGATGTATTGTTGTTGCCTATTCAAATATTCACCCTCTTGAGATTAGTTTATACTTATATAACTTTTCTCATATTAAAAAATGCACATGATGCTGATATACAATCAATGACATTATACATGATGTGATTTTTTAATGATTAAGGCTAGGTCATGAATTTGTGGCCGCTTTGATGTCATTTTGTACTTTTTAGAGTGAAGTGGTACCTTTAATTTCGATTCTCAAAGTAAAGGATGCTTTTTTATATGTACCTTCAGCATGATCAAGCAATCTTTGAGATGTAACCTTTGATTCTGATTTCCGAAGTATGAATCGACGTGCTTGGATTTTTCTGATAGTTGTGTCACACTTGTAGTTGAGTGAATTTGCTGGTTGAATGGACAAAGGAAGAAAGCTCCGACACCAGAGGTAAGAGTATAGCCATGGTCCACATGATTTTCTGCAAATTTTTTGAGCAGGGTATTGATGTACAGCATGTCTCAATTTATACCATGTAGGTGATATTTTGATTTCATCTAATTGTGATGTATCACTGCACTATTGTAGGAGTTGGCTGAGCTGGAAGCGAGGCGTGAACGTGTCAAGCAAAATATTGAATAACGCATACGATGATTACATATTATATCCTCTCTTATTCTTTTATCCTTAACCCTATATTGATAATAAGAAAGTGTTTTATCCTCTCTTATTCTTTTATCCTTAACCCTATATCCGGATGCACATATTATATCTGTATAGTTTATGGACTTACTTTATTACACTCTAATTTTAAGAAAGAGTAATTATTTTACTTAGAAGAAATTTGATTCACTATAGAGATTTTATTCAATAGCCTCAAGATATAAACATCTTTGTTTGCTTAGAAAAAATAGTTTATAAAATATATTTCAAGGAATACTTTTATTAGCTGCAATAATACATTAGAATATGCAAGAATTAAGTTTGAATAGTTTAAAAAGTTTAAATGTCATATACTAATTTTCTTTATTTTCTATCTCTACCTTTAATTTCTATATAGCCCAACTACTAAAGCCCAACAAACGGGAAAGTATTTTCTACACCTAGGTGTGGCACCTAGATATATCAGTATATGCATGTAATTTAAATAGCAGCCCACTTAGTCCACCGTCTTCCTCTTCTCTTTTTTTTTCCTCGTTCTTTTCCTCTCCCTCACACTGTCACTCTCTCTCCCAGCGCCGCCGTCCTCCCAGACCACGGCGCCAACACCGTCGTGCTTCGATCCTCACGCCGGCTACCGGACTCCAACTCCGGTAACCCTTCAGCAGCCGCTGCGAATTGGCTCCCCTGGCTCCCACGAGCCCGTTCCTTCTAACCCTAGCTGACTGGCCCCTCAATACGAGGTGCTGCCACCGGACTCCTGCTCTTATCACTCGGCCTCCGGTGTGGTTGCCGTGCAGAAGGCCAGTGCTCGCGTCGGCAACTCCGGCGATCAGCATTCTCACAGATAAAGATCCTTCTCTATGCCCATTTATTCCCTGTTCTAGCTCTACTATTGTGCACTTAAGTGTCCTTTCCTGTGTGGTGAACTGTACAATACAATAGACCCTGTTACTTGTGATGTGCTATGGTTGACTAGTAATCGTGCACGTGCAATCCACGTTATGTTCAGAATATAAATTAAACCCAATATATTGTAACCAAAATAATTTCACATAAAAGTTTTCATTTTGTGGGGTTACACAAGTTTTATAAAATGATGTGTAGCTCTCCTGACAATAAAATATATGTGATTTGTAGCTCCTTTTCTACACTGCAGTAACTAATAAAATATCCTAACAAATTAACAGAACAGAAGGGCAAGATACATGTCATTGATGAATAGAACAAAGGGTTAGGAATGTAAAATACCACAAATCTCCATGTCTCAAAATTTGTGTTGCCAGCAGTGAACCAGTTAATAACTCAATATACTTGAAATTGCAGCAAATACTTATATACCACTTTGAATCTTAAATGTTCCACTTCATCATGTTTGTATATATAAATAATTGATTTTAGGCCCCTATAGTATAAATAAGCAAGATATACACCCTCCGTCCCAAAAAAAACCAACTTCTGGGAATGAACCTGGACAAGCATTTGTCCAGATTCATCCTCAGAAGTTGTCTTTTTTTGGAAAGGAGTGAGTATGAGGCTTTAAGAGTGACGAAAAAAACAAAACCTTCAAAGGATCATTTCTTAATCTCAAATGATCCTTCTATTGAAGCATTTTTATGAACATGAAAAAAACCAAGAAAAATACTATATGGGTAACCCAGATTCAATACCAGAAAGTGGTTGTATTATTTACATCCCACAAGCAATCCTTTGGAGTGGCTTCCTGCCATGTTGGCATACCTTAGGGGGGCTTATCAATTGGAGTGACACTCTCATCTCACTTCTATCATTGTATCAACAGTACAGATCTAACTCTTTAGAACATGAAAAAACTTTAAATTTAACCAGAAATACAATGATTTTTCCTTATTAGTTCAATCCAGCACCTCAAACAACTTCCATTATAATCTGACAGAAAGATAAAAACAACATAAGATCATCCGGAGAATGTAGAGTGTCCCACTCATATGAAGGAAGCAACTTCCACAGATATCTACATGAGCTTGACCAAAATGCTATAATGGTCAGTATACTGAAAGAAGAATATGTAAATAGGAAATATAACATAAGAAAGAGGAGCAGCCATACTCGATACTACAATTGGTAAGCCTCCTGCCGCTGCCAGCTCTTCAAACAGCCCTCTTCTATAATGATATTACGTAAGATTCAATAGAGTTCCATCTAAACTGTGCCTATATAATGCAACTAACAAAAGGGGTAATGGAGGGGTCTACTCAAATTCTTTGGTACTTTGGGTTCCACAAATCAAATTACATGTGTCAAGCAAAAATACACAATGCACTAGCATACTTTAGTTCCTCTCTTGCCAGCAACATGCTAAAAAAATCATTTAATAGATATATATGCTTCTGGACAGGGATAAGCTTAATTTCCCAATTATGCCAGTGAGCTGAACAAAACGAAGGTTTGCTTGTATGCTAATGTACAGATGTAAACATAATTGCTCGCACAACAAATTAATTTTCCATGGTAACAGAAGAGCCATATCCCAATTTCACATTAATACCAAGAGGCTGAGCTTTTTCTCATGAAAATAACAAAACCTATTGATGCAACCAAAGCTACCAGCTTATCTTGCATCTATACCATTGAGAGTATGAGGTACATTCTGAAATGCTAAATTGAGCACATGAATTATCATAATGACCACATGCTAGTTTGATTAAAAAAACTATACATGTGAATCTATAAGGACAGTCCTAAACATTCTAGTACATATTAAGTTTATGTTCCTAGCTTGTTGTACATGTCACTGTGAGAGTATTTTACCGGTCACTGTGAAGAAACAAGTAGGGCGGCTAAAAGATGTTTCATTTGGCAGAAAGTATCATGTTCCATTTTACAAAAAGCATCTCACTAATTTCTGTTAAATAGGACTCAGCAGTGGATTTCCCATCAGGTATTCCAAATATCATTTAAGCAGTAAAATCAACGTGTGTGTGCTCCAGAAGAAAAATAAATGAAGCGTGACAAACTGTATTATGAAAGAAAATACTACGTCGTTTTTACTCTGCATAATCTCACACAAAATGTAGATCTACTTCAATCACACTTGAAGCTCTGACCCTAAAAACTCAATCACACATCAAATTCACAAGATTAAACAAAAGGGTGTGAGTTCTTGAAAGAACATTCATAAAATCAATGGCTGGCCGTGCCCTGTTGACCTTTAATGAACCTGAGAAAACAGAGATTACTCATTACTGAAGACCCAAAGCCATTACCCCTTACAAATTCATTATGGTTTTGCATCAGCAAGTTTGATTTATCCAGAGTTCATTAGTTGAACATAACTGGAAGCATTTTAGAAAGGTGAATCAAGGTGTTTTTCTAGATGTCACACAAATTTCTATTTCATGTATTTCTAAAAGAACATATCAATATGGAGTTAACAACCCTTACTATAGAGACCATATGCTTTTTAGGGCATGTATGTTTGATAAAAAAAAGTTTAAAACCAATAGTTTCTACAATATGCCAAATATCAATATATAATATTTCTTACCATTTCATGTTTGTCGCGAGGAGCAGCACAACTCCAATCAAGCATCTGCCAATCAGAAGACTAAAAAAAGTATTTTTGTCAATCTCATCCTTTCATGTATGAAATTTTTTTGATAAGACTAAACGGATTTGCTATCACGATTAACTTGCACCACTTAAAGTCATATCTTACCTGGGTTCTTGTCCAATCTTGATTATCACCTTCACATCACAACTTGTATTTGAGATGCATTAGGCCTTGTTGAGTTAATCCATCCCCATGTGGATTGAGGGGAATTTGGAAGGGATTTATTCCAAATCTATTAGGGCCTGAAATTAATTCCCCTCGATCCATTCAGTCCCTTCCTTGTGAGGATAACATAACAAAGCACTTATATGAAGCTACTTGTGGAGATTATGGATATCCCATATCTACACGGCGATGGAATTTGGACTGAATATAGGATACCAAATATAGATAGAATATCTTATTTGTGTCTCGGGTTTGTTTCTCAACTTGTACATCAAGGAAATACCTTGAGACTTAGTCGGTTACGACTGAATTTTATCTGTATCTGCATATTCCGTTAGGGATATAGATTATCTTTTGTAACACGGACTCCTTCCCATATATAAGGGGGGTCCGGGTGCCTCTAGGGGCATATGTTGATTTTCTCCAAATCATACAATCAATAAGACACTCGGCGGATTCATCCCCGGACAGGAGTAGGGTATTACTTCTTGAATAAGAAGGCCTGAACCTGTATAAATCCTTTGTCTCCAAACCCATACACTTCTCCAGCTTGATAGCCACCCCCTTTTATTATTGCCGAAATCTAGTTTCGACAGTTGGCGCGCCAGGTAGGGGTTGCGTCAAGCTTTTCGCCGATCAGTGCAATGGGTTCCGTCTCCGGCATCAACGACCTCGTCTTCCCACCCGGGCAGACGTTTCGGTTCGGCAGCCTCGACTTCGTCACCAACAACTTCGGCAAGATCTCTCTCCTTGACTCGGAGTCAGACCAGTCGGGAGAGAACCGGATCTCAGTCCCGTTTGGACTCCCAAACGCGGCTAAAAGTTACTTCAAGACCATCTCAATCGAGTCGGCTTCAAACCACTCGGGCGAGATCGCATCTTCTCCAACGACACCAGATCAAGATGATGGGGCTTACCCACCAATCCTGATGAAGCTCCCCGACGATTCAGCGGCCGTCTCCATCACGACAGCGTCTCCATCCCGTAGGCCTAGACGGAAGTCGGCTTCAACACCGATTTTGCCTAGCTTCAGGGAAGTCGGCGTCATCCTCCAACCACTCGGCACGGTTTCGACGGATCAGCTGGATGGCTACTACAGCTCTCCCACCGTCGACTCGCGTCCCACCGACATCGTGGAGTACGACGAATTTAGCTCTCGCTACAACGACCCGGATCTCGACGACTTCGACGGAAGCCTAGATGACAACTACACCCCTCTCTACTTCGGC